ATATCGTACGAACCTTAACGATAAGATCGCTGCACTTAGAGACTCTGTTCCCTCACTGCGCGTCATGGCTGGAACATCGAAGCTTGGCGAGGACGGAGAGGATGATGAAGACTTGGAAGGGTTGACGCCTGCACATAAGCTCAACAAGGCTACTGTATTGGCAAAGGCAACTGAATATATTAGGCACCTCGAGAAAAGGACAAAGCGGTTACAGGACGAAAATGATCAACTCAAGAATCGCCTAGCCGCCTTTGAGAAGTTGGCAAATATGGGTTCTATGAACAACATGCGACAGGACGGTGGCCAACGAGGGGTGGGTGGCGGACCAGGTGGTGGGCTGATGAGTAGGCTCATGGTTGGTAGTTTGGCTGGGTTGATGGTTGCAAACGGGCTACAAGAAGATGAAAGTGGTCAACGACAATTATTTGCAATCCCAGTCGGAGGTCTGGAGATGTTTGGCACGTCAAGCTCGACATTGAGTGGCAGCCAGTTGTTTTGGCTGTTATGCAAGATGGTCCTTTTATTTTCAGCTGTTGTCTATGTCCTTGTCCCAGGTTTCTTTGACTCGAAGCCACCCTCAGAGAAAGAGAGGGCCACTCCTCAGACTAAGCTTTCACCTGTCCCATCCCTTGCATCATCTATTGAAATCCGCAGAACTGCATGGCTCACTGCCGTTCAGTCAGTCTGGATCCCCCGCAACTCTCTCGTTATGGAACTTGCCGCGTTGGGTTTGAAGACTCTCAAGCTTAGCCTCAGGAAATTTGTCGGATGGCACGGCTACTCAATGCTTACTGGTATGACTGAGGAGCATGAAGTTGCTCGTGTCAAGGCCTGGACTATTGCTCTTGATGCACAGCTTGCTGGTGGTGATGCTACGATTACCCAGTCACGACTTCTCCTTACCTTGTTGGCCTCAATGACCCTACCCGCGACTCGCAGCCGACTGATGTTGAACGCTCTCCACATTAAGGTTCTCTTCTGGGACCTCGGAAGTAACTTCGAATCACTCTCAAACAAGCTGGCCACATATTACTGGAACGAAGCAAGGAAAGTTCAACAATCTGCCGATCCTTCTGAGAACCTCCCGGAACATCTTTCCCATCTTTTGGAACTTGAACCAAGTGATGTTTTGGACAACAAGATTATCCAGAAGGCCTACAACCTTGCATACGACCAGAGCACCGGCCACAATTGCGAAGCTCACGATGAAGGTATGGATACCGTTGTTGAAGACGAGTCAATCCGTTCTCCACTCGACGCCTTGGCAGCATGGTATTCAAGCCTCATCATCCAATCTGTTCTCGCTACATCCTTGAAGTCCGTAAAACACCAGAGGCATCTCAGCCCCGATCTCCAGGTTGCTCTCAATATCGCACCACCCAACAGCAAGGCTCAACTCCGAACACTTGTCGCGAAGGCAATTCTCGACTCTGATAAGGAAGGAAAGGATCTCCGCTTGGCTCTTAAGTCTTTTGAGGAAGACCTGAAAGTTCACGGTGATTCACGCAAGTCTATGCCCAAGATCTCTATTACACCACCTGCCGTCACAACTACTACAGATGTCAAGATCGCTATTCGTTGTGCGATGGCACTCAATTTACTGGCCAACGGTCGTCGCGAGGGAGCTACTCGCCTCTTTGCTGACTTTGACTGGCGAAAATCCTGCAACTCTTCATCCGACCATGTCTCTTCAGACCTTGGCCTTCTTGGATTTGTTGCCATCTGGAAGACATTAAACGCATTCGTATCCAGCGATGAGAACTGGGTCAAGGAAGTTGGCGAGAATGTTGAAGGAGTTGCGGCAGTATTGAGGGTTTGGATTGGTGACAGGAAGAAGAGGGGATCACGACGAGCGTGGGTTGAGACAAGTGACTGCAAGAGAGTCATTGATTTCTGTACTGGATTACAAAAGAAGCTAGCGGGCTTGGAGGAGGGAAGTGACGATGGGTATGTCAGCGGTCCACACGCTGAGGGAGAGAAGCACCAGTCGAAAGTTAGATTTTCTGTACCTGAACCGGTATCAGTTGCTTGATTTTCTTTTTTTCCCTTCTAGTTCTCATATTTACTTTGTCCTCTAAAACGTCGTAGATATGACTGTATTTTTTCTTTTCGCTTTCTTTTTTTTATGGGTTTTGTCGAACATTTCATGGGTACTTATTTTATTTTATTGTTACGGACTTTGGGCTTTTGGGTTTTGTTTGATGTGTGGGCAATGCGTTTTTTCCTTTACTTTTACCATGATCTGTTCATAGGCTTTTCTGTGCATTGCTTTCTAGTTTTCTTCGCTAGTTATCAAAAGATATCCTATTCTATTCAACTCAACCTCAATAATTTGAACTTCAGTTTGATCTTGTCTTTTTCCCTTTCCCCGCATTAGAGTGCGGTTTCTTCAAACTTTTCTTAATAATCCGGAAGCGGGGAAGTTGGGGGGGGGGGGGGGGTGGGGTGGGCGAGGGGAGAGCCGGGATAAATTAAACGGAAGAAATCGTCTGAAAAAAAACTTTTTTTTTCTTCAAAATGATCTACGCTGCACACTTCGCTATATATGCCTTTTCCATGATATTCTTCCTCTGCCTAAAAAGGGGGAAATCAGATGAGGTAAGTGGTATAGTTGGGAGAACCGTCAGATCAACACAGATCAACACAGGAAGCGTGTCGAGTATTCCTTTTCTCTCCGAGATCTTCGGGGGGCACAAGCGACGGCCTCGGCTGGCTAGCTTTGCACTCTCGGCAGATGTGTGTAATTGTCCTAGTGCGTAGGGTGCGCGTACCTATCCTTAGGCCATGATAGACGGCCAGGCGACGCCACTGTGCTCAGAATAATATTTTAAAAGTGAGGACTTAACGCCCTGTTGTGGTGGGAGGCTGGGGGGTTACGTGGGTCTTGGACACTCGGTCATGGAATATCACTCGGCTGGTTGTGGAGTTGGTGGAGGGGGGCTGGGGCGGGATTATGGTCCCACGGTAATGTCCGGATGCGTACTAGAACATGGAAAACCAACAGAATCTGATGATGGGGCCTATTCGAGGCCTCAGGTGTAGTGTCTTACCCTGAGGTGTGCTTGTCTCCCCCACTCTTCGGGCTGGCTGGATCGTTTTCGATAATACATGGTAAATTCTTGAACCTCATTTTCAGCCCCAAGCGCTAAATTATCGTAGCATAATTTTTTGGATTGCAGCGAGATGTTCTAGAACCGAACGGCCTAGAGGCGCAAATGCACAATGGTGCCGGTCATCACACGATGGGTCTTAGGGTGCGGCAGGTAAGCTTGTAGCGTGCATGTTTCTCCGAATGCTTCGAACCTCAAAATACCCGGTCTCATGGAGGGGGTTTCTGTCGGAGAAGGGCTCCATCAGGGAAGATATGATATGGTGATGAATAGGATGACCAGTAGTTCTTCCGGTAGACGTATACCCTGTTTGATAAAGCCAGCTTCGATCAACAATACCAAAAAGCCAGAATGATACCAAAGGGAAGCAGGTAGAATGAATGAGAGGGGCGAGGCAAAAACAAGAGAGATGAAAAAGGTCACCAAAGAGATGGAACCCATCTACATCACATACAAGACAACCAACAACGAGGCAAGAAAGAAAGAAACATTGCATGAACTCGACGGTCAACCATCAATAGATCTGGTCCCTCAGATAGCACCCAGAGACCACACGCGTCGGCTGTGCTTTTCCAACTATTGCCAAAGAAAGAGAGAAAGCTTGCAGACGCGAGCGAAGGACCTTGTCAGGTGAAAGAGAGGGGGGGGGGAGGAAGAAGAGGTGTGGGAAGAGTGTGTAAAGAAGGGAAGAGTGTGGGGGGAAGAGAACGAGGTGTGGGGGAGTGTGGTTGTTTGGTAGCGTTGGCTAAGCTTTTTACCCCAGACACCTTGCTGGGTGCACCGCAGTTTCCGTTTGGGAGTCAGTTGATGAACGCTCATACATTACACCATGTCAACATGCACCCATCTGCTAGATCGTGAAGAGCCCTAAACTACAAGTAGGCGTAATCCCTCATGCACGTTCCCGACAGCCAAAGCTTAGCATTGCTTCTAATAGCATTGGTGAAATACCATAGCATTTACCGCGGTGGCCTAGCTAGTTGCCATCGTGTCGCCCAGAGGGGCCGAGGTCGTTCGTTCGAACCACCTCCCAGGCTTGGTTGAAACACTGTGTGACTGGGTATAAAGGGGCTGTAGCTAGTTTCCTCCTTTTGCTATTTTGGATATCGGGGATTCTTCTTTTTTTGTGCCCTTCTTTTTCATATTTGCTGTATATATTCTTTGCCTGCGTGTATGTTTTGGGGTTATCGTGGAGTGCATCATGCGCGGTCACTCGTCAACACCCCACATCACTCAGTGCCGCCTGGTGGCTCCGTCTGGTCTCGTTGGGATTCAATGAGCAGCATCTAGCAGTGGAATAACACGTCGCACTATATCTACTAGTCTGGGGGCTAGAATAGGATGAGGTGCCAGTATCATCGTTCTCAACCCCCGGCCTGGCACCCCCGTCCATTCTCTGTTTGGTCTGAATCGTAGGACCGGTCAATTGATGGACATGATGACAGAAAAGGACTATCCTATCTTAACCTTACCTTGAGTTCCATAGGGCCTCTGACTCTTCAAAGAAATGGACTACGGTCTATTTGTAATATGCCCTTGAAACAGACATCAAGACCCTCTGGCGGGCTCAATGGCGCCTTTCTGATTTGAGCAAAGATGACAATTGTAGAGACGAGCAGCATTCTGCTGCAATGGACACTAGTACGCGACGGGGTTAATGGTGGACTGTGTATTGGGATTGGAAGATCTGTTCAGCTACGCTGATATGGTCATATGCGAAGGTAGTACAGAACACATATAAGCTTTATATACCACAACTTCTATCTGTTGAAACAACCAAGTTACGCCCCCAAAAACCCCGACTACAAGCACACATCTCAAAAGCCCAGAAACCTCCTCCATCCACCCACCATTGACCACCACCCACCTCCAACCCACAAGCACATTCCCTCACGCACCCCTAATCTGCGCCAACACAGCCTTCAGCCTCCTCGCCGCCACCTCCTCCCCATCCCGCCAGTCGCTAATCCGCTCCGTGGTGCACCTGATCCACGACGCTTCGTCAACTGTGCCGAGCGCTGAGCCGACCTCGAGGTCAGCTAGTGGTCCCCGCTCGTCGAAGTAGTGGATCACTCGGGCCTTTATGTAGAAGTTGTTGGCTGGTGCTTCGTGCTGGGAGGTGGACATTGTTGCTGCGTGGGGGGTGGGGGGAGCTTAGGATTGAGCTCGAGAATGGGTGTAGGATTGAGGTGGAGATGGCCGGGTGGTACTGGTAGGTACCTGGAGGTGTAGGGAACAGAGGAGGAGGAGGAGGAGGAGGTTGGTGGTTTATATCCGCTCGTCGAAGCAACAATTCAATCAATCAGCCGGCGCCAGATAGTCTACTCTCCAGAAATTCGTTCGTGATAGCTATCCCAACGAACGAGCAGCTACCCAGAGTATTATATCCCCCAAGCTCGCTGCCGACGGCGGCGACGACGATCAAGCTGATCGCCCTTAAGCTTCCCTCCGGTATACACCCGGCTCGCTTGAGTTCTGTGGGGTAACTAGACCGGGGTTCCGGGTGAACTAGCGAGCTTCTACCCGCTGCCAAGCCGGCTGCCTGGGGCGCGGGCAGGGGTGCGGGAGGGAAGGGTAGGGTTAGGGGCTTTGCATGGGAGCTAGTGAAGCTCGAGGACGCGGATAGAGAGAGAGGAGGGGTGTTGATTTTGAGGTGTGAAGAGTCGATAGAGTGTGGTTGCAATTGGGGAGACTCGGCGGGAATTGAAGAACAGATAAGTGTTTGTGGAAGTGGGAGACTATCGATTATTGCGATAATTGGTTAACCCGGAACAGCTATTAAGCTAGATAGGAGAGCCATAAAGAGGACGCGGTGATGGGGTTCAAAAGTCAGATCGTTGTTGCAGCTTTATTGGTGTAAGTACTTAGTAGGAGTTAACCTCGAAGCACCGCAAGATAAAATACCCCAGGACTCTAAGCAGCCTGGCACCTACCGCCTTCAGCCCATGTTACCTTGATACGCTAATGCTACTTCATCCAAAAGACAATATATACAGCAGAATCAATACTATGAAAACTCCTCTATGCGCAAAATTCAGTGGATTCGAGATCTAGAAAGGGATTGAGTTAGATCATGAAGAATCACTCGGCATTTCAACCACCTACGGCCACTTATGGCGCTCCGTAAATACATGTAGGCACAAAGGCAAGAGTACATAGGTGTACATACCCAAAGAGAGTCCGTGGAAGGGGTGGTACTTGTAGTGATGGTATGCGGGTGCTTGTGTGCGGCCGTACTAGATCTCATGCCCAGCCTGTGATGTAATCTACAGCCAGTCTGGGCACGAGACTAAAGTATTGTTACGAAATATATAGCGAGTGATATAGTATGATGCGCGCACCTTCGCTCCTCCACGATGACCTCCGAACGCACACAAGCAGCGCAATCAATAAATGGAGCGCATAAAAATCCGACCCCGAAAATAGTAAAAGGAGGAAACTAGCTACAACCCCTTTGTACCCAGTCACACAGTGTTTCCACCAAGCCTGGGAGGTAGGCGATTCGAACCGCCGACCTCGGCCCCTCTGGGCGACACGATAGCCATTGAGCTACCGCGGTAGATGCTATGTGGTTCCCCAATGCTTTTAGAGGCAGTGCCGTGCCCAGTTGTGTCTCAAAACTTGATGGCCGTCATTTAGAATCGTTGGAAGTCATCCCCCAATGTGGAAGCCGCCACACAGCGGAGCTTACTGATGCCGGGGGCTTTTCCTAGCCATGGGTTGTAGATGCGTGAGAGGTAAGTATACACCAAACTATTTCCTTTGATCCACATCTTTTGAGCGTTTGATCCTAAGCTGACAATCTTCGCTCTGCAAAGATTATAGTATCTCCGCCGGGCCTCAACCTGCAGCAGTACACCCGGCTGTCTTAGGCACGACAAACACTTCTACGTGGCGACCACCCACCCCCACACAGGACCTAAAGACATGGCCCATATGCTGACAAGATGCCCATACGTGCCAAAAATCCATCATCAAGACGCATGGTCTTCCCCGTAAAACCATCCGTTGTTCGCCCGGTACAGGTGGCTATGGACGAGTGATATACGGTGAACCCACCCCGCTGGATACCTAGGACGCTTGGTGTTTAGATATTGGTGTGGTGTGCATACTTGTGCTTCGATGGCCGCTCGGGATTGGGTGGGTGCTCACTCATGGACGATCGCGATGGGTATTAGGAGGTAAGAGTGATGAGGGGAGGTTTTAACTTTTCACGGGCTTGTGAATTGAGAAACTGGACTTGGGCTGCACAGAGTTATAACTTTATTTTTGTGAATTGTGCCTGAAGCTTAATTACAAGCCCTACTAACTATAACTTGATTTCTAGATATTCCACCTAACCATCCAAACCAGCCACAACCCCTACACTCACCCCCCCCACCTCGGCCTCGCACCCTCCTCACCCCCTGAATCATACTCCTCGAGGTCCGGGGTCGGAGGGCAACCATACCCCTCCTCCTCCTCATCATCCTCAAACCGCAACACATCCCCGCCCCGTAAAGGGGGAGGCGCAGAATCACCAGCCTGGACAAAGAACAAGCCCTGCGCAGGCACACCCGTACCTGTACCAGCAACAAGCGGCAGGACGCCAGTCTGGGTAAAGAACAGGCCCTGTGCCGGTATCGGGGTCGTATCATCTACGTACTCGGGAGAGAGATTAGTTAGCCCAAGGTCATTCCCAGAAGCAGGAATTCATCATACCAGGCACACCCAGCGCGCGCGCAAGCACCTCGTTATGCGCATAGCGGCCCGCGTCCTCCTCGCCGCCATCAGCTTGCTCCTCCTCCTCCTGGGCGTATTCTTCTGATGCGTAATATGGCATTGAGGCCCCGCGGGTCTGGTCGACGTCGTTGTCGCTGTTGTAGGCGTCTCCATCCTCCTGGTCTGGCTCGTGCTCGTAGCTGGCGCTGTGGGCGCGGGCGCGGGCGGCGGCAAGGATTGCGGCGACTTCGGTGGTGTAGTCTGACATTTGTAGTGGTGGTGTGGGGGGTTGTTGTGGTGGTGTTTGGTTCTGGTGGGGGTGAGGGTGTGTGAGTGTGTTATCGAGTGGGTATGGAAAAGTGTAGAAGCAAGTATGAAGTATGATACTCAAGAAAGACAGTAGCTGTTGAAAATAACGATTTATAAAACAATCCTCACCGGCCAGTACTCCATACATCCATTGAATTACTCCCGCCCCATCTATCACTCACCATATCTGGTCTTCGTCCCTTTTGCAGTTCTCCTCCTTCTATTCACTCTATGCCAGTACCACCCTAGCCTAGTCCAGCTCATATAGTACACCTTGTGACAGATATGTATCGTTCGTGATGACAGATTCAGGTCTGTAGCACTATTCACCATGGGGCTGGGGATGCGAGACTCCGAGTGATATTTCATGATCAGTAAGGCGAGTCCGACAGTGTTATTGATTATAGCCATGTGAGGAGTAGAATTAATACAGATAGAGAGGTTCATGACTGGATGATGCTTGTTGGTAGTAGTTGTTTTGGTTATATTCTGCATGGCTACTTTTGATGGAGTTCTGCCGGCCCGGGACTTTGTCTTCAAGACAACACCTTTGGTTACGCACCGGCTCGATAAACATTCGGTCTGAGGAAGGAAGAAAAATAATAATAAAATCACTGATTCATTAAGAAGGAATTGTAACTAATGCTGCTAAAGGCCCTTAAAGGCATGCATACCGCCGGACATATATAGTCCACAGCACCAATCCCCATAATTAATCACCACAAAACCATAACCTCAATCCCACCCATTAATACCAATACAACCCACAGAATCTACTGCCCCTTCCCCTCCTCCTCCCCCACCCCCTTCTCCCCCTCTTCTTCCCCCACAAACAACCCCCTCACCCCCCTACACCCCCCACACCTCGCCATCCCCACCGCCGTATTCCCCTCCCTATCCCTCAAATCCCCCTCGCCCCCCTCGCCAGCAACCACCTCACCATCGCCACATCCCCCCCCCACACCGCCTCATGCAGCGCCGTCCTCCCCCTCACATCCCTCGCATCCACATCCCCACCCCCATCAGCAGCGCCGTCATCACCCCCTCCATCTCCGCCCCCAGCTCCCCCAGCTCCCCACTCCCAACCCCAACCCCCAGCAGCGCTGGCTCCAGCCGCCCCGCAACAGCAAGGTGCAGCGGCGTCTGCTGCGTCTTGTGAACCGTGAGCGAAGCGATTGCGCCGTGCGCGAGCAGCAGAACAACGATGGCGTGGTGCCCCGCGTGGCTCGCTTTATGCAGCGCGGTAGCACCGCGCGCGTCGGCGGCGTTGGGGTTGGCGCCGGATTTGAGCAGCAGGGTGAGGAGTGTGTGGTGGTGCTTTTTGCCGCGGCGGGCGGCGTGGAGGAGGAGCTTTTCCATGGGTTTTTGGTGGTGGTGGTTTTGTGTTGGTCGGTGAGATAGCTATGGTATGAGCTGATGACGGTGATGATGGAACGGTGGATGGATATTTGATAGAACAGCCCGATCCCGGCGGAGAGAAAGCAGTCAAAGGGCGACATGGCAAAGGAGAGAACTGTACACGATTCCCCCCCCGCCAGCTGTGGTCTTTGTGGCTAGAGGAATGCCACGGAAGGGATGTCGAACCTCACACAAACAGGTCGAGTGACACCTGGTGATGCAAAACACTAAAACGCCTGGGCTACGGAAAGTTTGATCCTACTGGAGATCTCGAGATATATCGGCCGTATACTTTTGTGGATACAAAGATAACCATGGGTTTCATGGAGGTTGATAGCTGCGGGTACGTGGGAAAAGTATGATCTGAGTGGCGAATAGCACTACACGACACCATGGCCGTGTGGCCGGAGATTGGGAGTTTTTCTGGCCGCGGGAGGGTCTTGTATATTTACATGGGCCTTTTAATCTTGTTGGTTTGGGCCTTATATATATTATTCTCCAAAAGCCATGCAAGTCGTATTGGATTAAAGCTACCCATGCCAGGCAAACTACTATCACCCTATCTAGGGAATGCACCAATTGCAATTGTATCTCAAATATCCTGAGCCTTCCAGAGCTCACTACTTGAATAATAATTATGCCGAGGTATTCAGAGATTTTCAGAACACTTCACGTAATGCCAATGATTGACTCACCTTAAATATGACTCATCCTCATCCCCCCCGCCCCCTCAAAGATACTCATATAAAAACCCCAGATTTCCTATACCTATTCACGACATTATCCGTCAGTCCCGCACCGCCAAAATGGCCCCCTCCACCCGCCCAACAATCCAACTCCCCACAGTCGAAGCCTACGACAAATGGGCACCCGTACGCACCCCGCCCCGCCCCGCCCCTCTCCTCTCCTCCCCTCCCCTTCCCCAGCTCCCCACAACTCTTCCAACCCAAACTAACACCTCCCCCAGACCTACGACCACGACGGCAACATCCTCCAACTGCACGACGACCACGCCTTCACCACCACAATCCCCCCCTCCTCCTCTCCCACCCCCCCACGCACCTCCTCGACCTCGGCTGCGGCACCGGCCGCAACACGTCCAAACTCCACGCCCTCCTCCCCCCCACCAGCCACATCACCGCCCTCGACGCCAGCCCCGCCATGATGTCCATCGCACAATCACGCCTCCCCTCTCCGCGCATCACCTGGGTCCTGCACGACCTCACCCGCAACACCCCGCTTCCCGTCACCGCACCCGTCGACGCAGTCGTGTCAACGCTGGTGCTGGAACACGTGGGCCTCGATGTATTCTTCGGCGCGGTGGCCGGCGTGCTACGGAGCGGCGGGTGGGCGTATGTGACGAGCATGCACCCACAGATGGGCGCTGTGTCGCGGGCGGGGTTTGTGGATGAGCGGGGAGTGAAGGTGCAGGGGGTGAGCTATAATCATCAGGTCGAGGAGGTGGTGGCGAGTGCGGAGAGGGCTGGGTTGAGGCTGCAAGGGGAGGTCGGGGAGAGGGGGGTGGGGGATGAAGGTGAGGTGGAGGGGCTGGGGGTGAGGGCGAGGAAGTGGGTGGGGGTGGTGATGCATGTGGAGATGGTGTTTTTTAAGGTGTGAGGTTGTGGTTTTGGGGGGTGGTGGTGGGGGGGTGGTGGGGTTGTTTGTGGTTGTTGTGGATTGTAGATACCCAGTACAAGTAATACCAGTTTTTGATGTAGCAAAACCCTCGGGCGTGCAATTGATACTTTAACATCGGGGCCCGTATATGTATATATTCTAGCGTTTTATAGGTCTTTCTATCAGAGTTATATCGTGCAGCACCTAGTCTCGAACCCATCAACCCACTAGCCTGCTGCCCACCATAGAAGTGTGCGGCACATATAGTCCAACGCCTAGCACCAAAGCCACGCCCGTCTTCAGCACCACTACATGTGCAGCTCCAACCAACACTCACTCCCCCCCCCCCCCCCCCCCGGGGGCAAGGTCCACCGGGCTAATTCTCCCATTCTTCCAAGCATCTCCGTTGAAAGTGGGAACTACATGTATGCATACCATTTTAAAAAGAAGTCAGAACTTATACCTGAAATTCATACCTCCGAGTGATATTTCATGATTACAATACCTAACTATCAAAACACAGATTTTGAAATTCGCTGTTGGTCGATTAGGTTGGTGCACGCCGACTTCCCAGGACTAAATACAGTATCAGGGGTGGGGGGTAAATCTGATACAGCACCATCAGTTACGGTATTGTATTGTGAGAACGGATCATACGGTAGTGGTTACGGCAGTGCGGTAGTCGTTTTTATCCATGTTTCTGCCACTGTAGTATTTTTTCTCTTTGATACAAGACCGCCATTAAACAGAGCTGCACCTGGAGTAGGATGCGCATTGGGGGAATATGACTACCCATTGGTTTTGGGGGGGTGGGGGGGGGCGGGTGCCCCGTACTTTGGTTTGTGGATATCAAAAACTCTTCATCGGAACAGTCATCGATCATTAGGAATTTTTTATTTTATGGCCGTATTAATTAGTTAACCGAAAAACTAATATCAATCATGACTTCCTTATTATAGAACCATAACTATAAAGAGGGTGAAGATAAGTTAATTATAAACAAATAGAGTACTAGGAGGGAGGCCCGGGCCGGGGGGACAAAAAAAAAGCCATCTATTTCGTTTCACAAAGAACACCAATGGTATCTAAATTACAGCGCCCCAAAAAGGTTTCCCATAAAGATTCTTCCCGAATAACAACAAAAAAAAAAGGGTAAGAAAAATAATCAATCACTTCCCCTTCCTTCCCCTCCCCACCTTCTGTGTTGCCTCCGCCTCTGGTGGTGCGGCAATCTTGAACTCATGCCCCAGATCTAGCTTACCTCTGAGAACGCTAATCGCTATAATCCCAGTTCCATAGACGTCCCATCCGGACTTGTTGAGAAGCGCTATATCACCATCTCCCTTTTCACTACCCAAGATAAGTGTTTGATCGGCGTGTTCGTCGTCTTCTCTTTTCCCCTTGGGGCTTTTCTTGGTAATTGTCCCTGCGCCGGCTGCTTTGAGCATTTCAACGAGCGAATCTTCTTGTTTTGAAGCCTTTAGTTGTGAGATGAGTGATGCGGTGATGTAAACATTATAATCCTTGAGAACGCAGTTGAGGCCATTGCGGCCGCGGTCAATGGCGGCAGCAAGTGAGAAAGACCAGGCCTGCTCATGAATGGGATCGCAAGGGACGTACGGTTCGGGATCTAAGAAATATTAGAGAGGATTGGACTGATAAGTACTAGTAGTGTGGGGTGATAGTACCCAAAAAGTAGCCGATTTCTTTGCTATCAATCAGCCATTGGTCCTCTACGACAAATTTACCCAGCGTCACTCCGACAGTTAATTTCGGTGTTCTTTTTAGCTCTCCGGGCCCTACGACGAGGAAATTGACCGTAGCAGCGCTGACATTTGGCATCTTCTTTCCGCCATTCGCTCGAAGGAACTTCTCAATGTCCTGGGTTTTTTATTAGCAACACATGGACAAATTTTCGGCACGTATATATAAACGAACCTTTTTTCCGTCAAGGCCGCTGTTGCTGAACACAATTTTCGGGGAGTCGCCTTCATATCTGCTCCTCGTTCTGGTCACTACATTCGACACCTTGGCATCTTCCTCATTCTCACTTCCATCTTTTTCCGACAGCTGCGATTGTGGACTTGGTTTCTGTCTTCTGGCGGGGATTTTTTTGGTGGAGTAGCTTTCTTCTTCGGCCCTGCCTTCGTCACCGTGAGTCCCAGCGCCTGGGATTGCGTATCCTGAACTGTATACTGAGTATCGCCTAGAAGCTTCCCACTGCTTGGTGGTGGTGTGGGTGTCGCATCTTTCTTGCCTCTCTTCGCTGCTGGTGTTTTCCCCACAGGCGTCGTCTTTGCACGTTTTGGTCTCGTCGGTTGGCTGACCTGGATCACCGACTCCGCTGAACTTTCCCGAGGAAGATGCTGGGTGTCTTGATCGTTATTTCCTTCTGTATCATCGGGCCTTTGTCGTTTCCGCATGGGCTTCTTTGGCTTCGGTGCTTCTTCTGGGGGTTCTTCTGAGGCAGTAGTAGAAATTGGATCAGGAGCATCTGGTGCCTCTTCAGCCTGACGTCTACCTCTAGTGCCCCTAAGGGGTTTCATAGACACAGCCTCTTTAATACCCGGCTCCTTTTCCTGCTCTTTGGTGGCCTTTCCAGTACTCTTAGTAGGCGCAGCTCTTTTACCTCTTGTGTTACGTCCTGTAGCTACTGCGTCGGCTTCTACAGTAGCAGCAGTACTAGGTAGACTTTGTACTGTTTTTCTCCCCCTTTGAGCCCTAGGTGGCTGTGGCGCAGGCTCGTCTTCCTCGTCGGCAGTTTCCATGATAGCATCTTCCTCCTCAGTACGGTCAGTCCCTTTCATTTGGGGTACGACTTTTATTGCATCTTCTTCTTCCATGCTTTCGGTGTTACTATTCTTCTGGGCACGCCCAAGTCTCCTTCTTTTTACTTGGGTGTCTTTAGTAGTCTCCTCTGTGCTATCGTTGATAATTACCTCTACTGTGTTTTTCGGTTTCCTACCTCCCTTGACAGCAACATTCTTATTCCTAGGCACAGGCGCCTTCCTTTTGTTCTTCCCATATACTACTTTCGGCGTCATCTCTTTTTTATGTTCCTCATGCAGAAATCCTACTGGAACTCCATGTCCCTTGATGCGACTCTTCGGCGTGGTAGATTCATCCGAGAGTGCCCCCTCATCTTCATCTTCGTCTACGACTGAGGCGACTACTTCATCCATTGCAGACCCAAACGAAGTGATCATGGCTGACTGACTAAATTGTTTTCTTACAGCTTCTGCGGAGTTCTGACTTTCATTTTCCTCATCATCTTTCTCCTCGGGACGGGCAAAATCATCGGGGGTCTTCATATCCACTACAGGAGCAACATTATTAATTTTCCTAAAGATGTCCTGGACTCTATCGGGGGTAGTACCTTTCCTTGAAGGAGACATTGAGGCAGTAGGCTTCTTTCCCGTTGGCGTTGAGTCCTCCTTCTCTTGTATGATACCTCCGAAGGTATCTACCCTTGATAGCTTCCCTCGAGGCAGCGTGACCGTCGCACTATCCGGATCCATGAACCTACTCTTCACGCTAGGAGTCTCATGAACCTTGGGCTCCTCTGTGATTGTTTCTGGAATGGCGGGTGTTGACTGCACCACATCGCTCTCGCTACGTCTCAGTGATTCCTTGGGATAGCTTTGCTGTACTAGCACATGCGCCTCATCTTCTTCCATAGTAATTTGGCTTTCTCCATCAGCCGAGACTAGAGATGCTCCAAGTTCAAAGACAATAGTTCCAGATTTGGTATAGATCGTTGCATCGGAGTCCAAAAGTACTAGCATGCGCTCTTTGGTTGGCTCGTTTGAACAGGGGAGAGTTTGTTTGGTGGGAGCGAGTTTGGAGCTTGTTCTCCGAGCCAAACGAATATCCTCTGCGGGGTTAAGAGCTTCGATAAAGATAACACCGGGTTTTTGGATATCTTATTCGAAATCTCTATTAGTGAAATGGGGAACTCTTTAAAAAGATAATGGGTACTCACGAATGCCAGCTATTAAACCAGAATTTCCACGGATCCCACCCTCGGAATCGCCTTGTGAAAGTTTTAGGGAACCATCTGGGACACCAATGATGTAATAAGACGTTCTTTCGCCATTTGTAGATCGAAGCTGGTGCCATATCTCAGCTAGTGGGTCTGAGCGGTTCAGGAACCGGAGTCGTGAGATGGTTAAAGAACCCATTTGTCGTGGGAGATATCGATGGAGTCGGGTTCTTTGTTGGAGATAGTTGTCGATACATAAGCTGTCGATGGGGGAGACGCGTAGAGTGGAGAGACACAGTCATAGGCCTTGTCAGTGCACGCGCTTGCTAGCGTCAATGTCGCGTCATCCCAGCGCAGAAGCCTCACACACTCAACCATTAGTCCCTTTTGATCAATGGCGTGACCAATGCCGAAGCTAGACTGTGCTACATAAAGTCGGGAATATCGCATAAATTATCAGCACCCACCATTTGCAAAATTACAGTGGTGTCCCGATAGTAGCAACCTCGATAATAGCATATCCTCGATAGTAGCATATGTTTGGGCAATCCCAAACGAGTCGGTACGGGCAAAGTTCTCGATACAAGCATATCCCCGATAGTGGCACACGAAAATCCGTTCCCGACCATATGCTATTATCGAGACTCCACTGTATCGATAATTAAAGATTGGCCCGGTGCTATCACCGCGAAGAGAGATTAACGACCTTAATATTATAAGGTTTCAAACCCGGTACCGTGTCAGAATGGGAAATTTGATTGTACAGTAATTAGGACTAGGTCTGGTACAGTATTGGGTCAAATACGTTACTAGCAACACGCATAACTTTCATTTAGGAGAGGATTTAATTGTAGATATAGATAATTTATAGTAGAGAGTGCGCCGAGAGTTCGTTTGTTTATTTCCATGTAAAGACGTTGGTCATACAGTACTTGGACTCAGTCATTGATTAAGACATTGTAGGGTAAACACCAAGTTCTCATCTCACCTCAAGTCCCTAAACCCAACATGACATTTATATACGCGTTTATGAACTACACATGCGCCTGCTCTCAGGCCAATTCTCGCTTAGCTCGTGCCTGTCTCAGTACGAGTTCAAACACAATATATCACTCGTTCAATGCAATCACTCTAAAAACAATTGATTTCCCTTAACGCCGCCTTCAAGCACCCCCCCCCCCCAAAAAAAAAAAAAAATAAAAAAAAAAAAAAATAACCCATCTAAAAGGATTATATAAAGTACACATAAGATTTACCTTTTACCCCTGCCTTTCTTCTTATTTCGTGGGGGCTGCGGTGCATCACCAACGGTAACAGTACCTTCAACAATCTCCTCTCCCTGATTCTCCATTTTCTCTCTTGTCTCCAAGAAAAACATCAAGTCTCTGATCTGCTCTTTTAAATCCTCGTTTTCCTTCTTTCTTTCCTCGCTCTCTTTCGTCAAGTATTCGATTCTCTCCATTAACCCACTATTCACCCCCTTCTCTTCCTTCCATTCCTTCTCCATCCTTCTAGCCATCTCTCCAAATTTCTCGGCCTTTCTTTCGGCTCGCTCTTTCCCTCGCTCTGCCAGAGGAAGAAGCTCCTGGGTCACTTCGCTGTGTTTTAACTTGAGCTCCTTTAGCTCTTTCAGCAATTCTCTAGATTCTGCGACGGCCTTCTCAGCGGCGTGCGCGGCTTCGGACGCTTTGTCGGCCGCCTGTGCAACCTTTTCTTCAAAGTAAAGGCGCTGACTGTCGAGTTGACTAGTGAGGAGGTATGTGTACTCCATGCCGATATTATCCAATTTCTCTCTCGGAACATAGTCGCCCCTATTACCTGGGGAGTCTGGGTTTTGGGAAATAGAAAGTGCTGAAGGAAGCTCGACTAGTTTACCATCCGCTTTGTTTTGTATGAGACGGTGGACATATCCGTCGCCCACATAGTCCCATACACGTTGGGTTTCGATGTCCATAGCATAGCAATGGGATGTCTCCTTGTAATGTTCAAAGGCGTGAGCATCATCATAGCGGCCACAACCAAGATTTCCACAAATCAAACTAGTAGGCAAGAAGTAAGTACGGAAATTCTATGTACGGAAGAGGGTAAATATATACCAAATCCATAGGTTATTGAAAGCTCCACAAGTGCCACAGCATTCATCTTCGTCTTCATCATCGTTTCTTTCTCGAATACCAGGCCCTTGTGTATATCGGCAGACAGGGCAGCTACTGTCTTTCCATTTACTCAAGCAAGCACAATGAAATACATGCTGGCACAGGATCGTTAATAAACCTGTGGTTTCATCCATACGTTCTAGGCAGACCGGACATGTTGGTAGCTCTAAAAGCGAGGGTGTTGGAGGCGGCGCAGGTTTTGTAGTGATATGGCTAGCAACCGTGGCTGACGAGGAAGCGGCAACAGCTGGAATTGCCGGCCTAGGACCCTGTGAAGGGAAAAATGGATCGTTTGAGATTTCAGGAAAGGCGACAGAGGAAGCTTGGTTGTTTGAAGAGGGTTTTTGAAACTGAATTGATTTTATAAAGACAACATGGCAGTTTTCGGGCTGTCAGTAGCATCAGTGCTTGAAAGTGTTAGACAAGTAGGACCTCTCGTACCTCCATGCTATTAAAAACTTTTCCATTAAACTCAGTAACAAATACTTTTGCGTCCTTTTTGTGCCTGAATTTCATGAGCACCATATAACGATTTGCTTTTCCGGTCCTTATCATTCTGAAATGGCTCACGGTATCTCTCGTCTCTTCGCCAACAAATCCCATAAAATCAGATGGAGTCATATACGATGGAACCGCAAGGATGGCAACGGTAGTGAGAGCATATTCATCATCTTCCTCTTCTATAAGCTCGCCAGTATCTTCCTCTCCTTTCTTCTTTAAACCTGGAGTATAAAGACCTGGCGTCTCGAGAACGTCGCGGTAAAGATGCACCAAGCCATATCCAAATTCTGTGTTTCTAGACTCCAAGGGAACGAAGTGGGCTTTCGCAGCAGTTCCACTGGCAAGAGGCGTAGAAGCTGCAGAAGATTTCCTCCGTTGTACAGGTCCGCTCTGGACTCCTGAAACCGGGGTCTCTTCAGAACCCATATCTATAGACTCCACCGCGATCTTCCCAAAGCGCCAATCCAACTGCTCGTATGTACCAGGTGGTGGGCTCTCGGTTAATTGTGTTTCCTTCGCCTTTTTGCGACTGGTTTCCGCCTGTGGTGTGATCAGTTTAGACACTTCCTTTTTGTCGGAAGTGATGGGTGGGGGGTGAGGTGGGAGCGTGGCAGCGAAGATGTCCGTCCCTGGGGGTGGAATCCAGGCCGTTAGAGAAGACAATTGGGTTATTGAGAGTTCTGAGAGTTCCGGCAAGGAACGAGCTATGTGTGAGGTAGGGCTGTGAAGATCAAAGAAGAGGTGGAAAAAATAAGATGGCATTGAAGATTGAGTATAGAGGTAAAGGCCCTATCACTAACGACGTCATTCGAGGGCCACGAAGGTAAAGTAATTTTTACTATTCTTAAGGAACGAAAGAGCGGTGATAGGTTTGTTTAAATGCTCTCGCGTACTAGGTACATACCTTTGAGGCTCCGCCATAAGGAGTGGTGGGTTGGTGGGGTTGGTGGGGTGTGGGGAAACGCGCCACTGGGTAAGGGTTAGAAATATCTGCGCCAAGACAGTTCTCTTAAACTCTTTTGGGTAGTCTGTTTGAGCTGTGATTGGTCGTGAACGCGTCGAGGGGTTTCCCTTTGTCTTTGCCTCCTCTCCACTTTACGCGTCTGCTGGCCCTGTCTCCCACCAGCACCTACAAACTTTCTCCTTCTGCATTGAATTAGCTACTACCTCTACATACCCCTCCTCTACAGCCAATCTCAAAATGTCAACTCCCGGTCTTCCAATGTCATCTCCTCCTCCGGAAAACCCCCGGAAGCGCCATTTGGACGATAGTGAAGATGAGGACATGGACAACGGTGTCCCTTCAAGTCGTCAGTGGTCCTGATAGTTATCCTTAGTGGTTTTCTCTTTGGCCGTTTATTCCCTAAGTATATGTAGAGGGTTATCTCATTTGGAGATATACCCTCACCTCTACGGTCAAAGAGTATGTGAGATTAATTGAGCTAATTTTATTTCTTACTACTAGCTCCCGCTTCTACGCCTGGTTGGGTCCGCTCTTCACCACCATTGATAGACGATGAAATCGACGAGACTGGCGGTGTAAGCCGAATTGCTTGTTCCCTAGCTTTAAATCGGTGCTGAACAATAGATGTAGATTCAGGATTTGGAGGATATAGAAGAGGAACTTGATGGAGAGGATATCATGGTGAATATGGAAAAGTAAGTTTCACTCTAGAATGTTTCTGGTTTAAATTCTGACACCCCCCAGGGATTACACTCAGAATCTCGTTCTTGACCAGTATGAACCCGATAATATCGACGACGAAGAATACGAGGAGATGGACATTGGCACCCGTCGCGCTCTTAGTCGGAAAATGGACATTCGGGATATTATTAGTCGCCGCAAACCAGCAATTTTCATGAGCGATGACGATGAAGACGACCAACAAGACTTATTCCAACAACAGCAACGTACGAGACGAGGAACCCATGTCTATGACGAAGACAGGGATGACGACGATATGGACAATTTAATGGGCGAGGCGCTATCCCTAGAGCAACTTGGAGACATCAAAGCTGCCAGTATCGCTGATTGGCTTTCTGTTCCAAACGTATACCGTAGCGTTGCCATCCATTTTAAAAACTTTCTCCTCGAGTATACCGACGGAAATCTTGCTTCTGTGTACAGTGCTCGTTTCCGAACGCTCGGAGAAGTGAACGCCGAATCTCTCGAAATTTCATTTCAGCATTTGGCCGAGCACAGAGCAACTCTCGCCCTCTTTCTTGCAAATGCTCCGACAGAGACATTGAAGATTTTTGATCAGGTTGCCATGGAAACAACCCTTCTTCACTATCAAGATTATCAGCGTATTCATTCCGAGATTCATGTTCGTATTGCTGATGTCCCAACATCATATACACTCCGTGAACTACGGCAATCTCATCTCAATGCTCTTGTCCGCGTCCGCGGTGTAGTGACCAGAAGGACTGGTGTGTTCCCGCAGTTGAAGTATGTCAAGTTCGACTGCAGTAAGTGTGGTACAACTCTTGGGCCTTTTCCACAGGACTCAAATGTTGAAGTCAAGATCTCGTACTGCCAGAACTGTCAATCGCGCGGACCGTTCACTTTAAACTCTGAAAAGACTGTTTATAGGAATTATCAGAAGATGACTTTACAAGAATCACCCGGTACAGTCCCTGCAGGAAGACTTCCTCGACACAGAGAAGTCATCTTACTATGGGACCTGATTGATTCTGCCAAGCCCGGTGAAGAGGTGGAGGTCACAGGTATCTACAGGAATAATTACGATGTTCAACTCAACCAAAAGAATGGTTTCCCCGTCTTTGCTACTGTTCTCGAGGCAAATAACGTTGTTAAGTCTCACGATGAACTCGCTGGGTTCAGATTAACAGAAGAAGATGAAAAGGCGATCCGAACACTTGCACGCGACGAAAATGTCGTAAATAAAATCATTGACTCAATGGCGCCAAGCATCTATGGGCACCGCGATATCAAAACCGCTGTTGCATGTTCGCTTTTTGGTGGTGTTGGGAAAGATGTTCATGGGAAGCATACGATCCGTGGTGATATCAATGTATTACTGCTTGGAGATCCGGGTACAGCGAAGTCACAAGTGTTAAAATATGTCGAAAAGACGGCGCATCGTGCTGTATTTGCTACAGGTCAAGGTGCCAGTGCGGTGGGTTTAACAGCAAGTGTAAGGAAAGATCCGATAACTCAAGAATGGACGCTTGAGGGAGGAGCGTTAGTGTTGGCCGATAAAGGAACTTGCCTGATCGATGAGTTTGATAAGATGAATGATAAAGACAGGTATTCTCCCGCGATCTGCTTTTGGTTTCCTTATTGGCTAATATATTAAACTTGAGAACATCGATTCACGAAGCAATGGAACAACAATCCATTTCAATTTCCAAGGCTGGTATTGTGACTACTCTTCAAGCTCGCTGCGCGATCATTGCAGCTGCCAATCCCATTGGTGGTCGTTACAATTCCACTATTCCATTCGCCCAAAATGTCGAGCTTACAGAACCCATTCTCTCACGTTTTGACGTACTCTGCGTCGTCCGTGACACCGTTGATCCTGAAATTGATGAACGTCTTGCTACATTCGTCGTGGCCTCCCACGGTCGATCTCATCCCGTCGGTAACTCTGGCGGTGGGGACCAGCCAACAGGCTCAAACAATGGCAACTCATCCGGACTCATCTCCCCTATACCCCAAGAACTCCTCAGGAAGTACATCATGTACGCACGCGAGCATTGTCGTCCGCAGCTCCATCAAATGGACCAAGATAAAGTAGCACGTCTCTTTGTCGAGATGCGCAGAGAGTCACTTGCAACTGGAAGTTTCCCGATCACAGTCCGTCATTTGGAAAGCATAATACGTTTATCAGAGTCTTTCGCCAAGATGAGATTGAGTGAGTATGTCTCCATGAAAGATATCGACCTTGCTATCGCGGTCACGGTGGATAGTTTTATTGGTGCACAGAAAGTAAGTGTGAAGAAGAGCTTGGCAAGGGCATTTGCGAAATACACATTGCCGAAGAGTGGGCCCAAAGGACCAGTCGGAGGAAGGAGGGGGAGGGTTGCTGCGTAGCCCCCGCGAGTGAGAAGTCATGGAGGAGTTTTGAATTTTACACAAGGGGATTCTATGAGGAACGTTTAGGTGTTTTATATCATAGCTAGTCAATTTTTCTTGTTCAAGTCTTTCCCAGTACTTATTGGCGTCATATTAAAGGTTGATGAAGTAATGTTTACGTTTTTGTAGGTAGGTGTAGGCACATCAACAAATTCTAGGTTTGCACGAGAATTTGTACTCAAAATGGCGCCAACCCGCTACGTGAAAACACGGGGGAAAAAGGACTCATATTGTAATAAATAATACATGTGCTTTCTCCTCTATGAAAGAAAGTTCCATTACTGCATTTCCTTGGGACGCTACAAAATAATCAACGACAATCGGTTGCACAGCCACAGTTCAGGGCCCAACCCTACTTCCCACAGTCACCCAGCACCACACAACCTAACAATCGATTTCGGCTCGCTCCCCGCCAAACGTCAACCCTATCGGATACACCAAGTTTTTTCCACCCCAACGAACGACGACAACAACCAACCGACAACGGTCCATCAACTTCCGGAAAATCAGTCAAGATGTGAGTTCAATTCATTTTCTTCCTCTATGCTTTATCGCGCGATCCAGGCCAGGGCAGGTTAGGGAGGAGCAAGGAAACACACTCGGACGGGATGTGTGTGTAAGCACGGGGGGGCACCGTCGGAAGGTTCGGTTGAGCATTGGCAATGGGATCGCATGCGGAAGAATAGGAATTGGGATGATTTTGGGGTGGCTTCGAGCTTTTTTAACTGGAATTACCAGTTCCAAAGCTTGGGTGGCAAATTGCCGATATATCGAAATATCACCAAAGGAATATTTCGAATGCTAACGAGTCATCTCAATTTCTAGGGTCAACCTACGTACCCAGAAGCGTCTCGCAGCATCCGTCATGGACTGCGGTGAGCGAAAAGTCTGGCTCGACCCTAGCGAGGTCAGCGAGATCAGCAACGCCAACTCTCGTACGCCGCCACCCTAATGCTCTCGAACTGGACCTTATAAAGCGTGCTAATATGAGAGGGAATGTATTCAGGCCAGACTATCCGTAAGCTCGTCCGTGACGGTCTTATCATCAAGAAGCCCGCCACCATGCACTCCCGCTCCCGCACCAGGATCCTCGCGGATGCCAAGCGTGCTGGTCGCCACACTGGTTTCGGTAAGAGGAAGGGTACCAAGGATGCCCGTATGCCATCCCAGGTCCTCTGGATGCGCCGTCTCCGTGTCCTCCGCCGTCTCCTCGTCAAGTACCGTGCCCAGGGAAAGATCGACAAGCACCTCTACCACGAGCTCTACCACCTCTCCAAGGGTAACACCTTCAAGCACAGACGTGCTTTGATTGAGCACGTTAGTTCCCCCTTCCCGAATATATGTGGCAGTAGTATCCGTGATGGTGGATGAGTGTGGCTGGTGCTGACAGTCAGTGTAGATTCACAAGGCTAAGGCCGAGAAGGCCCGTGAGCGTATCCTCAAGGAGGAGATGGATGCTAAGCGTGCGAAGACCAAGGCCGCCAGGGAGAGGAGGCAGCAGAGAATCCAGGAGAAGAGGAATGCCCTCGTTGGCGAAGAGACTGCCGCAGAGGAGAAATAAATCCAAGAAAAAATTACCCTCTAACAGCAAAAATTTCAAAAATTTCGGTTTCCCTTCCTTTTTACACTACTGCGTCTTTTTTCGTTGGGATGGTTTGTTGGGTTCTTTCTGTATTCGTCACGGGGTATATGATGAATCTGGTAAAATACAATTAAAGAGAAAAAAACAAGAACAGGCATCAAGGCATCTGGTGACATTAAGTGCATTTGGAGTCGGGGTGTTTTATGTTTTTACTTTCTTTACACTGTAGCGAGCAGTAGAAGTAATACAAGCGGAGCCGATGACATTTGGGATAGGTCCGGTATGAATATGATATCTAGAAATAACGATTTACGACAATGACGAAACAAACTCTGATACTATTGCAGGGTGACAAAAATAACTACGCACCCAAATTTGTATTGTAAAATAACGTTTTTTGGACCTAGCTACTTCAAACATACCGCCACAAATTTCATATCAGAAAGCCAAATCTCCCAAGCTCCGGAATTTTAGAGATATGTTATCTCTCTGATATCTTGTATACTCATGGAGTTACAAAGAATTGAAGTTGTCAATTTTTGTATGGTTGCTATATGGATTACTAACAAAAAGGCCGAACTTTGAAGTATAGCTATTGCATACATGTAACTATATAGGCTGTGAGAGACATAAGTGTATAGGCTGTGAGAGACATAAGTGTATATGGGAGTTTCTAGAGCTCCAAAGATCTTTCCTGTAGGTTATCAAGTTAGTGGTCGCATTTTCGGAGTGGTAGGTCTAGAAAATACTCTTTTCCAATACAAACTTTGGTGCGTAGTTATTTTTGTCACCCTGCAATACCTTGGCTTGATGTTCATTTGGTTTATGTTAGAAATATACCTTGTTAACCTCCGGTGGCAACGATAGCTGGATACCTGGGGAAAGCTCCATCCATAGCTAACACGTCCACTTTGGGTGTTTCAAAGGTCGAGTGATCTTCCCATGACCGGCCACTTGCATCACAGTATATCACACGCACATAGATGAAGCACAAACGAATATTTGTCCTACTACGCCGCTACATATATCTACCACACACTAGAAACACAAGCAAGAAGAGAATAAAACAAAGCAAACGATAATAATCCCCAGTTCCCCTGGGTGGCAAGTATTAGCCAGGTCCGATACGAGGCCTGCAGAATTCGTTAGCATCATCACACCAGATGAAAAGATGATTTTCTGAACATACATGTCGTGGTGCTCACTGAGATTACTCAGGTACTTGTTGTACTCCTCGACACGTTGCTTGTGGCTCTTGATGCCCTCTCGCTTCAACCTTTCGTCCATCTACTTTGTTATTAGCACGGCGCCTACATTCGCTATCATTCAAGTACGACGTACCCTCTTCCGCTTCCGTTCTTCAAACCTTCGCTCCGCCTCTGTCTTTCCAGCATAGTAGTCTCCCTTCTCCGGCCCATCACGTTCAGCAGACCCAGAGCGTGATCGTCCCTCGCCGGGTTCTTCCTTAGAATCCTTTGATTCTTCCCCGGTATTGGAGAGGGCGCGCTCGCTATTGCCGTCGTCGCGGTCCTCTGATTTTGACTTCGTGCGGCTCTTTTTTGATTTCTTTTTTTTGATCCCGCCGTCTTTGATGCCTTTAAGCTTGAGTGAGCCTCCTATGTTTGGAGTGTTAGCAATCGTGGCTCACCAGGAAAGGGATACATGGCGTACCTGTGGAGACGTAGTCTTCCTTCCCCATGGCGCTGGGTCAGTTGGAGACGAGTGTGATGATGCTTTGGCTGTTTAGCTCTTGCTAAAGACGGAAGGTACCGGTGTAGCCATGCCTGTTACCCGGCTTTGAGATTACGAACCGGCAGAGTGTTGATGTTTTTGGAACGAATGGATCAGCAGGGCCGTGAGAGACAGACACCGGGAGCGAAGGGGGGGTTGGTGGGTTCCCCTATAAGTTTCGGGGAGGAGAGAGGTTCCTTCTTATATCTTCTCTTTTCCAGTTTTTGGGAGGTCGTATCAAACAAGTTTTTTGGTACGCAGGCACGACACTTATTTGTTGTTTGAAATATCATTTCCACGGCCGCGTTCTACATAACGAAAATCTTTCACAATAAAACACAAGAAACAAAAAAACATCATGAGAACCTCGATAACCTACTCACTCTTTTCCCTCCTTTCCTTTGCGGCCGCATACACAGCGCCCGTCGGCCCCAACCCTCAAGGCAATCCCTTCTCTAACCCAGGGCTCAACGAAATTGTCCCCAAGGGCACCCCTTACAAAATCAAGTGGAATCCAACGTCTCCAGACAATACAGTATCGCTCATACTTCTCCGTGGACCATCAACCAACTGCGTGCCCCTCTACCCGATTGTGGAGAAAACGAAAAATTCGGGGGAGTATGAGTGGACGCCAAAGGACGATCTAGAAGTCGACTCGAGCCGCTATGGAATCCAATTGATCGATGAAACGACTGGGTTCTATCAGTACACGACACAGTTTGGAATCGGTGATAAAAAGGGAGACGAGCAAAAGAAAGAGGAGGAGAAGAAAAAGATGCAACAAAATACCACAAGTATAGTTACGATAACTACTACTGTAGTTCCAACTCCAGCTCCGACTAGTACCGAGACGGTTGCATATTTGTGTGAGTTGGATGTCGATGGCCAGTGTATCTGGTAGTGAGCTTAGCTCGAATGAGCATAAGGAGTTGTAGATTTCTATATAGAGTTTTTCATTTGTTTTATACAGGATTTGTCGGTTATTTGGTCATTACACGACTTGATCATGAGCGTATATTATCGTGTTCTTCGACAAGAGAGCACTATTATGTATAGGAACCTACATCTAGCGATCTATCCTCCTTTGATGAAACCTTTAGAGTTATTTGTGTTATGTCAATTTCTATGTTTTCTATATTGTATTATCATTATCATTATCATTTTTATTTTTTCATGTAGGCATTTTCGAAATTTCAGCACCATACCATTCCGTCCTATTACTAGCGGTCACGGGGTTGCCGTTTCTTTGCACTTACCCTGCCTCAGCAGCAAAGCTACAAAACCACCAAATCTCCCCAGTATCCCTCGCAGCCTTGTCAACTAGCCCACTTTTCAAACAACTTCTAATTCAAACGATATTACTCACAGTGATCACAATGGAGTCCATTACAGCTTCTGAACCTCCTCCCCGTCCCAGGCGTACGTCAACTGATTCCCAAAACTCCGTTACAGCCATGGAGTAAGCTCTCCCAGCTCGATCCTAGCTCCCTTAGCTCTAGCTACTACATGGATAAGCACCCACTAACAATATACGCTAGTTACATAAACTCACAACTCGCGCTCGAATCTGAAGCCCGTGAAATAATGCCATACGCATTTGATAGCTGCACAAACGCTCTTGGTCCCCTACGTCAACCAGTCTTCTCATGCAAGACGTGCCAGGTCCCCACAGAGTCATCGCCCAAATTTGCAGAATTTGTGACTAAGGGCGCAGCTGGAATATGTTACAGCTGTTCGATATCATGCCATGGTGATCATGAGCTGGTGGAGATATTCAACAAAAGAGATGTTGTGTGTGATTGTGGCACAGATAGAATGCCGCAGGGTAGCTCGTGTGATCTGAGGAAGGTTGCTGGCGAGAGAGGCAGGGTTGGCAGTAGGTACTGCCACAACTATTGGGGCAGGTTTTGTTGGTGTGATACGGATTATGATCCAGAGAGTGAGAAAGGCACTATGTATCAGTGCCTGTTGGGCGACGCCTGTGGAGAGGATTGGTTCCATGATGGATGTATTGTGGGCGAAAAAAACGCCGAAAAGGATCCAAAGATGGAGGAGGCGGTTGTCACAGCTGTTGAAGGAAAACAGGAGACTGTGGATACAGCTGTAGAGGGACCAGAGGGAAAGACAGAGCCAACAGAGTCGGCCCAAAACGGCGATGAAGAAGAAGAGGAGGAGGAGGAGGAACGTCCCGCCGGTTTTCCCGAGGAAGAATCTTTTGAGCACTATATTTGTTGGCTCTGCATAGAGAAGAACCCATGGCTACTTCGTTATGCTGGCACACCAGGGTTCCTTTCGGCTGTCGACAAAAAGGACGCTCCACTCTCTGTCGCTACAATTGTCCCTACTATAGCTCTATCTAATAACCTCACCTCCGAGCCTATCGCTCCAGGAGATCTAGAAGCTGCAATTATATGTGATAAGAAACGAAAGGCAGAGGACGAAGTTGTAGAACCAGGTCACAAACGCGCAAAAACACCTGACGCCGCGATAGCGCTCTCCTCCGGAAACAACTCTACAGTGGTCGCTATCTGCACCTACAATAATCTTCCCCCTCCACCGCCTTCAACTTACCATCAATCTCTCTTTCTCACAGCCACCTTTCGCACGCACCTCTGCCGATGCCCCACCTGTTTCCCCCTTCTTGCGCCACACCCATGTCTCCTCGAAGAAGAGGAAAGCTACGAGCCCCCCCTTGATGCCTCCGAAGATGGCGCCTCAGTTCACTCTGGTGGCTCACTTTTTGATCGCGGAGAGCGCGCACTGAACATGGTGGACCGCGTACACGCAATCGAGGGCGTCATGGCATATAACCAGCTCAAGGAGAAGGTAAAGGACTTTCTGAAGCCTTTTGCAGCCAGCGGAGAGGCAGTTGGCGCCGACGACGTCAAGAGATATTTTGCAGAGCTGAGGGGTGATGTGCCTGCGAAGAAAGACGGCGGTGGTGCGGCGGCGGATGTTGCTGGGAAAAGGGAGGAGAGTGCAAAGTAGTTAGAGCTAATCTATCTCCTCTCGGTTGGGTCTTATCTTTATTGTATTTTATTTAGCTGTATGGATTGGGAAGGGAAAGTGGTTTTTTGATCATTGGTCATTTGAAACTTTTACTATGGCTTACGCTAGCTATGTAGTGCGCATATTATTACAATATTATTAGGCACTAGCAGACCCAAAAGGGAATGGGTATGCGCCTCGTTAACTGCACGGCCCCCACGGATGGAGATCGATCCATACACCATGTGGAACCCGGCTTAAACTCATTGCAACATAGCACAGGACAGAAAGGTATTTAAGTTTCTGTCCAACTCGCGCAGCTAAAACCTTTAGTATTAATACCTTTGATCAAAAGACTATGAAATTCGTATCATACCAACGAGAGACGTAAGAATTGGCTTCAATGTGGTAAACACTGTTGAGGACATTGAAAACTACATGTATCTAGAGGGGCAGTATGAAGATATGTCGATCTCCAAGTCCATATCTGCTAAAAATAAATAAAATAAAAACCTCTCTTTCTCGCTCTCCTCCTCTTCTCTCTTGATCCTATATAAGGTCTTTCCAAGTCCAGTCTGGCCATAGTCTTTCTTAGACCACGCAGAAGACCAGATGTTGCCGACTTTGTAATTGTTGCGGGATAATATCAGCAACTCCTGTAGTACAACATATCCCACCAGTACGGGCTCATTTTGTCAGCCCTACTATATTTAAGCTCCACCACCTTGCCAGGTTTTTCCAGCTAGGCTGGCAATTCCCCACCGGAATATTTGCAGGCCCAATAACTGCAGTGTATCTTAGTACCGGGTACCAAATATCACTCTTCCAATTAATCATTCTTGTGGGTGTTAAATACACATTAAATGCCATCAGCTTCTTTAGTTCTAAGCCTCCCAATACCCCCAGTAGGCATTGGACATTCAATTTTGTGCTATCGCGCACCCGAGCTTTCATTCTAGGTCGTTAAGAGATTTTGTCAATAATCATATTTTATGATCATTATCAAATTGCAAAACACTAAGGTGTATTACCCTTTTGTACACGGAAGGGATATTTTCATACGAAGGGGGAGGGGTAAAGCCCAGTCCTGGAGGGACCTGTATCAATCCTTCGTGTGATAACCTTTTGACCCGCTCCTCATTTGCGAGCCGTTGCTTCTCAAATTCTTGAGTCTTTTTGAGCCTTTTCTTAGATAGGTGTTCCTTAGAACTACTTGTGAGGTTCTAGTCAGTGCTCTATCAATGCAATGCCTGAGTGATTGTAAACCTATTGAAACAGAAAGCCCCGCATCCCAGGATCAAAGATGCCATATTCACGACTCGTATACAAGATAAGAATACTGTGATTTTGTGTTACTGTATTGTGGCAAGGGTCTGTAGGGGGAAACCTTTATGTACCCTTTTGTGGGGTTACTTTCTCGGCAGACGCGTGTGAGCTAACGGTTAGTTACCCCATCATTTGGAATTTGCCGAGTTGTTCCGGACTCAGTAAACATCTGTCAAGTCTAAAACGTCATTGGTGTTATTTAGCTCCGATCTAACATCCTACCAATACCCATTGGGCAAGACATTGGACGGAACCCTTCCTTCTTATTCTAGAGGGGATTGTATCCTTTGATCAACTAATCAACGATGAGATTGGATACCTTTCCTTATTCGTCTCAATTGAAGGTGTAATTACGATGAAGCATATGCAAGGCAGTAAGGCAAATCATACCCCAAATGTCTCTTCTGATAGGCGGCTGACATGCCTACATGTAGTTACGCGACCCTGGGCAGCATCGATGTTATGCAGAAATTTGACATCTGCAGCTCTATCTACCTACCTAGCTCGGCATATGGTCAGCAAATAACACTGAAATTACAGGCATTCACCAATTAAAGGATGGCCTGAAGTTCGTGGTGAGTTACTATCAAGTTGATAGTAACTGCAAGGTAAGGTTTGGCGTCCCAACCCTTTTACTCGTAGCTTTATAGCGTTTCCGAACACGACCAATATTGCATGACATACAAAAAGGTGGATTTGGCGCTTTTTCGTATGTCATGCAATATTGGTCGTGTTCGGAAACGCTATAAAGCTACGAGTAGATACCTGCTTTATCAAAGTCACCCAATTGTACTTTATTGTTAAGAGGTTTTATAGGCGATTAGCCATCTGTTTCATCAGAGGTTCTTCCGACTCGGCTAACAATAATAATGCAAGGGAGGCGAATCCATGTTCTTTTCGCTACTGTAGGCATATATCAGATCAAGAAGCCATAGCCTCGTTTCGGTAAAGTTGATGTCAGGTTTAACCTTACATCCACAGGTCCGGTGAGGCGGGGTCCGTTTTGGGGGCGAAGACGGGCCTGGTACCTGCATTACTTGGGGTTGTTTCGGGTCTAGACCATCCCTATATTGGATCCATGCCCGGTAGAAGTGGAATACCTATGCAGGAGGTAGGTATCGCGCTTTTTATCTGGAAAACATACAGATGCGGTAGGCAAAACAAAAACTCATTTTCCTTGACTAATCTCAGCCCGTGTTCGCTAACTCATAATCTGTCAGACTGCAGCCGTTGTTCTATGGCTCTCTATTATGAATGATGAGGGGGGTGCGTGAGCTGCGGCAATGCCACGCGGCGGCGAGTAGCATAAGGATTTGATTTTGTGCTACTGAGATTCCTCATCCGGCGGGGTCCCATAATCATCCCCAATAAACAATCAATTGACATACAAGTCAGGCAATAATAATGGCTGATGGATGATCGAAAACATCGGTGGCTAGGGCACGCAAATCTCCGCTGCGGTGCAGGTTTCCAAAAATACTAGTAGCCCTAACTCAATGTTTTTTTCTAATAGAAGTTAACAGTAGGCCAGGGTGCATATACTTGCTTGATTGTAGGATTTTTCTCTTTCTTTTCTTTTTTTTCACCTACTCCCCCTCCCTCTTGCACTCTTACTTTCGTATCATCTTGTAGACTTCTGAACCATCTTCCGAACCAAATCAATCATTCAGCCACTACAGAGCTTACTTCTAAACGTTCAATTCTTTCATTTAATATTAATATTCGCTACCCCCCATGCCATGGGTTGGAAAGAACGCTCTATCTATGCATGGCATACACTACTCAGTCTTAGCTTTTTCGCATCTTTAACACTGGCTCTTTTGGACACGGAAGCAGCGTCTCAAAAAATCGATTCAGTTTGTCAGTTCCCTATATACAATCCCCCACTCCCCAGCACTAACTCATATCATTAGATGTTGGAAAACTCAGTGCAGCATGGATCGACGCCGATCACACGGAAGGCTGTGGTGAACGCCTGCTTGGCGTCCTCGATAACACGAATCTCACGTTCGGGCCCGTTCACGACAATACCACCGACCACTCAAATCCTTATTTTATCTCACTAGCATCACCACAGACCGAAAATCTTACGGTCACGATGCAGTCTTCGATATCTTCGGAAAATTTGGGTGCTGCATGGTGGTCTGTAGCGGCAGAGCTTGACGACGATGATGAAGAATACAAAATAACGGGCACACTGAAAAACACCAAAAATCTCTCCAATAATAAATTCTCCGGAAACTTTGGGAGTGGGGGTCTTGGTGCGGTATTAAGAAGAGTGACTTTGAATGGGAGTATCAGGCCTCCAACACTACATTCTCCGGGACGGTAACAGAGGATGGAGACATAGAGTTTGAGATTGAAGGTAGCATGGTAGATGGAGATACAGGGCGTACAATAGCCTACACCATACAATTCCACGGGAAATGGGACTCGGGGACAGCGAAATTAAATTTTTCGTCTAATAATCCGACATGGCCTAAGGCCGGTACTGGGGAGAGCGACACAACTACGGCAGCTAAAACATCTGGGATTCTCGTAGACACTGGTCCGACGCCCACTGGAAGTGCGGAGAAAGATGATGATGATAAGAATTTCATGGACGATATTTCCAAGAAGCTGGGACTTGGGGGTGTTGTGGGGGTAATATCAGGTGGAGTAATATTACTTGGTATTGTCGGGGCGTTGATATTTTGCGCCGTGAATCGGAGGAAAAGACATCGCGAGGCTGGAAGAGTATATCCTGAAGTTGCTTATATCTATACACCATCGCCTGATCTCGATGGAAGCTATCCGGGCTCGTATAGATCAAACTCGGAGCTGGATATGAGGGAGGTCCTGGTGAACGACTATTCATTGCCAGTAACCAATCAACATCAGTGGAGGCAATTCTAGTCCTCATACATTCGTATTTCCTTTTGCTTTTATCTATTGCTTTTTGCGGGCGTTTTCACTTTCTGTTTATCGGGCTTAATCTCCTTGTATTTTTATCTCGGGATTGGATTGGGTTGGGAGGTGTGCTTTTTCTTTTCTTTTCCGAAAGTGACAACTCATTAGCAGTATTTTCACTTTCAATGCCTTCAACCATGATATATCAATACCCTACCAGGTTGTATAGCAATATTTCTATGAGTGCTGTATTTGTAGCTTCCGGGTGATCGACAGTATAGTAGCCATAGCTTAACAGTTGATATTGGGGGCCATTTGTTTCAACTATAGCAAATCGCTAGGGTAACTCTAGCATGTACCTAGTTACTTGAAAATCACTGTTTTTACTAACCCACATGGCCCCCGCTCGCTGGTGTGATCAGTTCATTTAAGATATCTTGTTTTTATCTTATTCATATGCTCTCCCTGCCCCACTACAGGCAAGCAAAAAAGCGCATAAATTCCTCAGCCGCAGACTGACAGGGAGGGTGTACGTACATATGTAGATATGCACAAAATGGGCTCTATGTAGGCACATGTAATTACTTTATATAGCTGTAACACGTGTGTAGGTGAGTCCACCATCTAGAGTACAAGTTCATGTAGATACGAAATACCGATTCGATCCCTTGAATTGTGTATCTGTAAATATTAACGGTCTCCTCATTATCCAGGCAGTTTAAGGGTCTACCCGGCTGGGTTGGCTGCAGATTAATGTCACTTACCATATATGTATGTAGTTACACCTCATCACATCATTAATGGCGAGCATAATTGTTGAAAGAGTAGAAAGAGATATCGATGGTGGGGTGTTGGCATTCTTCAAGCCAGCTAGAGTTAGTGTCACAAATACAATAGGCGACCTAACTGAGATACGACCCGGATATGTTAGGGTGTAACTAGGAAAGATTCGATTTTAAATTTTCTGTACCAACTTGACTGCTGACTATCCGAATCGAGTCAGAGATTTTATACACTCCACATCAATGACCACATTGTTTATCCATGCCGGTAGGTATTTCGAAATGGCGGTGTGGTGGTACTCTACATAAAGCTACACACGTAGAAGGTAATTGTTAGCCTAGCGATGATCTTCGCTACCACGATTATCTTTTTATTACGCAATATTTTATCCAAATAGGGAGGGGTTGTGGCCGCTCGGCGGCCCTGGTTGGTTGAGCCGGGGTACTCGGAACAGTAGTACTACACTCGTAGGTAAAGCTACTAGTACAGTAAGATGCTCATATATATTCGGATTTTGTCTTGTTGACGGAGTTTGCGGTATGGAGTTAAAGTCTAGGCCCATGTACGCACTGTACATAAGATGGGCATGTACCCAGTCAAAGATATATATGTGATGTAGCTTGTTTTTTCTTTCTTTCTTTGTTTAATTCATTAATTGCATGCAACTTTACAGTTATGGCAATATGTGATGTAGCTTCAGATTAGTGGGTAAATACCAAACTGCCCCTCATCCTATAACACTTGGAAACATCACGGCATCGATATCAATATTAACAACTCATAAACCTCACGATACTTTTAGAATAATGTCCACCGAAAAGAAAAATCGCATAATCCTTGGTCTTATGACCTTTGGGCCTGTATGTCCGTCCGGTCTTGCTCGTTAACCACTGTTACGATATAACCAGGACCGAAATGATGGCGCTCGCATTACTTCCCTCACAGAATTCAAAAACATACTCACCGCTTTCCGTGATCGCGGCTACATCGAACTCGATACAGCTCGTGTCTACTGCGGAAGCCAGCAAGAATCCTTTACCGCATCCGCCGGATGGAAACAGGCGGGTTTTACCATTGCAACTAAGCTCTACCCAAACCAGCCAGGAATCCACAAGGCGGCATCTATAAAGGAGAATATTGCCAAGTCACTCAGCGAGCTAGGTACGGAGAAGGTAGACTTATGGTATTTTCACGCACCAGATAGGTCCGTTCCCTTCGAAGAAACACTAGAAGCAGTCAACGAAGCGTACAAGGAGGGAAATTCAAGAGGCTGGGATTGAGTAATTACACTGCATTTGAGGTGGCCGAGATTTGCACCCTGTGTAAGGAAAGAGGATGGGTGAAACCAAGTGTGTATCAGGGAATGTATAATGTCATCACCAGAGCGATTGAGAAGGAGTTGTTCGTGGCCTGTAGGAAATACGGACTTGACATCGTGGTCTATAATCCGTAAGTTACCTTCATGATTTATCAATCGCATAGCATCGGTCATTAATAGTACTTCCTTAAACCAGTCTAGCAGGCGGCTTCTTCACCGGCAACTACAAATCGCCCGCCCTCCCCGAGTCAGGAAGATTCAGTAATACCAACCCCTCGGGTAGTGTCTACCGTGCTCGTTATTTTAATGACCACTATTTCAATGCGCTCAAACTCATTGAGCCCGTTGCGGAGAAGCACAATCTTACCATGGTAGAAATTGCGTTTCGGTGGTTGCTTCACCATTCAGTGCTAAACATCAAGAACGGGAATGATGGAATAATATTGGGTGTGAGTAGCCAGAAGCAATTAGAGGAGAATCTGGATCAACTAGAGAAGGGTCCCTTTCCAAGTGAGGTGGTAGAAGTGTTGAATAAGGCCTGGGAGGTGGTGAATCCAAATACGCCAAAGTAAGTGCTTTCCCTGGATAGACCCATTTTTGAAATATTAGCGACTCACTTCGGGAATAGTTATTGGCATTTGGAATTGAAGTACACTTACGATACGACTGTCTGATTGAAAGACGAAGGGTACATCGACCTAGGGGTATATAATATAGGTATATAAAGTGTTAAGTAGCACATAAAAAATATGATTGATGTAGATGAATAACCGGGAACTTTATTATATGGATTGATGAGCAAAAGGAAAAATTGTATTTCTCTGGTTTACTCCTTAATCCGAACCCCGGCCTCGCTGCCGTACTTGTTTCCTTTCGAGGGCATGCACGAGCACATACGGCACTTATGCTACGGAACCCGAAAGAAATACGTGCTTAGGGCGATTCTAAGCTAGCTGGTTATCCCTCCAGGTGTTTCCCCCAAGAAGTGAGGTAAATCCAGGACGACAATCAGTGAATCTACGGCTTCCAAGGCTACCTCCTCACATCAACTGACTAGCGCATTTTCTTGTTTACAGTATTGATATTGGTCTTGTTTAATTAGATTGCTCATCATCGTTCCATCCGCGTATTCTAGTAGTTTGGCGGTGTGTAATAACTGGACATGAATAAGCCACAACGGGTATTTGATTGATATGATGGAATGTCAAGTAATCTGTAAAATGTTAATTATACTCCTAGAACATCTTAAAGGTCTATAGTGCATACTATTGAGGATTCGGTTACTTCACTGTATGTGCAGCTGTTCCCTTACCCGGAGAAAATCGATGAGATAGCTATAGGGTTCATGTAGCCTCACGCGAAGCCCGAGATCTATCCAGTCGAAAACGATCTTGCTCGATGTCGTAGAGCATTTGACGTCTGCAGCCTCCAGCTGCATGGTTTGCTTAATCGACAATTGATTTGGATTCATAAGAAAGCTAATGTGTTTAGGAGACTGGTCACTGCATTCATCCGCTTAAGGAAATTAGCATAGCTTTTCTAACTACCATCTAGCTAGTTGTCCTAGCGTCTCCATGAGGACACGATTAGGCCAGGCAAACCGAACATGCAATCGTATGAATCCCAGGGGTCTAATATTGTGGTCGTGGAAAAGAAAATATGCATAGTAGGAATAATTAGGTAGGTTTAAGCATCATGTATACTCGCATATCAAGTACAAGCGGAGTGCGGCCTTCGGCCGCCCAAATGTACTAAGGAAATGAGGTGCGGGCGGTACTACGATAGTAATTTCTTAGATTATTGCTGTCATTCTGGATTGTTGGGTCATCCAAACATACAGGCATGCACTAAACCTCATCTCCACCTCTCCTCATATGTAATCTGTGATATATTAGCTCTAGTATGCACTCTAAGTCATTCAATGAGTAGCGTTAGTATGTACATGTACATGATAAAATGGTATCAGGGAAATTCGACCTTCAAGTTCATATATAAAAATATAGCTGTAGTTCTGTCAGTGGTTGTTCTCTTATATCCATCAATTGCAATAGCTACACGCCTTTTAATGCAAGTTCCCTTCCATCTCGGGAGTAGTTCTTTGTCGAATCATGATATGCAATCAATATTAGAAATACATGTAGTGCGCTGTAACCAATAGGAGACGTTCCTGGTGACGATGAGGAAGACTATATAGTTTAGATGTGTTTGCGCAACCAGCAAAACACACAGAATCTCGAGAGCTTTCCTACCTCCCCTAAAATTATGCATCTTTTATCTAGACACCTGAAAGACTCTACAGGCCACTTTCATGCCATATCCATAAAGAACGAGGCGAGGGGTGTCTTAAAAGTCCTTTTCTTGCTTTCCTCTCCCCTTTACCAGTATCTCAATTAGGCCAAGAATTTGAAGCATGAATCTCCCTTATCGAAATTATACTATACTTGGTCGTTGCAGTTTTGGTATAACTATGGGACCTTTTATGAGTTGTTGAAAACCTCGATTTTTGGTGTGTTTTGCTGGTTGGGCAAATACATATTTGACAAGCGAGTACAGCTAACTATATACATGTAATCTCTCATGACTGAAAAATTAACATCCTATCGCAAGAAACCAAAGGCAAAATTAGAGTCAAATGTATAGGGATAGGACACAGCTACATCTAAAATACAGGGTAATACGGAAGAAAAGATCAATACATGTCCATTGAACCACCGCAATCAAGCTATCTATGTCCCTACAGGAAGAGAAAAGAAAGAGTACGTTTTCCAACACCTAGTTTATGTATATCAGATTCTAAGTTTAAAAATGGCTGCAAGTAAAAAGAAATGTCTGCTTTTATAATCAGTGAGGGAGTATGCATTCTTAGTTTAATGGCGTTATTTATCCTCTTCTAAATTCTTCTCCCGTTTCCTAAGTGCTAGACTACTACTCCCCCCTTCGCCTTAATCTTTTAGTTCCCATTTGATATAGAGCCTCATTCCGTTTTTTCGTCGAAATAGCCTTCTTGCATATGAAAAAATGCACTCTAAAGCCCTGCGACCGATTGACCGACCGACCCGACTTGACAACAAACTTAAACCGCCGCAGTAAGCCGCAATTGGCTGGATGTGGTGGACCAGGATGAGCTATGTTCCTTCACAGATGTTATAAATACGTCCCCTTGATTGAAACAGAACCAGCCAGTTCCTTCAAAAACATAAGAAGATCCCGAGCACCGCACTCATACCTATGTCCCTTCTAGAGAGAATTGATAATCGGCACCATTGAATCAATCATATCCCGTCACCCCCACTTGACTCGCAAAGGCCGTAGAAACGCTGCGGACATCGTCATCCACATCCCCCCTCCTGCCTAGCCCAACCCCGACACCGCCACCAATGCTACTTCCCCCGTAAACACTACCCTCCGCGCCGGTTTTATATCCGCCGCTCAAATCCATTCCCATACCGAGACCGCCTCTTCCGCTTTCAACATATCTCTTCAAACGATCACTCTGGCTCAAACTTGTCTGCTTCGATCCAATACCATTATTTCCTCCAATAACTGAACCTGCAGAAGATCCCAGGGGCACGCCACCACCTGCGACAGAGCTTGCGCCAGCGATGGATACATCTGCTTCGCTTGGTGCAATGGTAGAAGGAGCTGTTGTTCCACGTGGAGGAAGGGAAGGCCAATTTTCCATGGCAAATCCTCTAAACATTGGCGGGAACGCGCTTGTCACGGCAACAGAATGGATTGAGCTGACATCGTCTGGAATATATCCGATAACACTTCCGGAGTCATTATATTCAGATAGTCTAGCGTGATTATTATTGCCATTGTATTCACCTTGCCTATTTAGCTTGGTAGAAGGGCTCGTAGCAGTGGTAACCGCTGGTCCAATTCCCCCGGGTAACCTGGATCCGGTAGGAACACCCCCGCCGGGGGCAGTCTGGTAAGCCATCTGATATCTCTGCGGTCCACGGTAAGTCTGTCTAGGCTTGGAGAACTGGATCAAAGAGACCTGAAGATTACTAAGAGGCCCTTCAACGAGACAATTCTTCTCTTTGTAGTGCAGCAATAAGTAATGCCACAAAGGATGTTTAGATAGCACTTTCGGGTTGCCAAGGATGACAACCCCAAACTTCGCTCTGGTCAAGGCCACATTGAGACGTCTGGGATCGTTCAAGAAACCGATCCCTTGATGATCATTGGATCGCACACAAGATAGGACTATATAATCCTTTTCTCTACCTTGGAAAGCATCGACAGAGGCGACTTCGATTTCCTTATAGAGTTCTTTGCGAAGAGAGCCATTTGTCTGCATGGAGGAGACAATATAGGAGCGTTGGCCTTCGTAAGGGGTGATGATACCAATCTGCGATGGTAGAACACCAGCCTTGAAAAATCTGGTAATAATCTTCTCGCATGCCGAAGCTTCTGTCCGATTTAAATAACTAGTCCCACTTGCAGATATTTCTTCGTTTCCCAAATTGCTCCAAAACATCATGGGAGTATCCGCTACTGGCCATGGAAAATCGACATTCCTCCTCAATCGCTCCTGTGTTGTAACTCCATTTTGCAGACTTCCTTCGTAAAACATGTTGCTGGGGAACTCCGATAGACAAGGATGCATACGATATTGCACGTTCAACCTGATTGGTGCACATCCAAGGATAACAAGGCGTTCAAAAAGGGACTGATGCAAACCTGCACGCGCAGCCTTCTTGTTCATAATAACTGGTCCGAGCTGTTGATGGTCGCCAACAAGGACAACCTGTTTGCATCCAAGAACCAAAGGAATCATACATTCTGGCTCGGCAGCCTGGGTACTCTCGTCGATCAAAACTGTTCTAAATTTGAACTTCGAAAGCCTGGGATCCCCAGCACCAACGCAAGTACAACAGATAACGTCTGCGTTAGTAAGAATCTCACGTTCGGCGGCCCGGGTGAGATGTTTAAATTTCTTTTCATCTTGAGACGACAATTCCCCCAATTCATTTTTCAGCTGTGCTAGCTTGGCCAGCTCGACGTTGCTGTCATTTAGACGGACCTGCTCGTGTAAGGAAAGGAACGAGACCTGAGACTCAACATCCTCGCGGGACTTTGCCGTGAGTCGAACAACTTTTAATCCGGTACGATGGATCTTCTCCGTCAATTGGTCAACTGCGACATTAGAAGGCGCGCAGACCAGTACTTGTCCACCATTTAATTTCGCAAGATGATAGACGATCGTAGCTGAGGTAACCGTTTTTCCGGTTCCCGGAGGCCCTTGAATAAGTGAGAGCGGCTTCGACAACACACTCTTCACTGCATGGACCTGGCTCACATTGAGTTCTGGCAGGCCAGGAACTGAAAACCGCCTTGGCATACTCGTTTTCAACGGTGCGGCTGCCACTGAGTGACCAAGTAGACGATGGTAAATGTATCCACTGACACTCATTTCATCCACAGCAAAGCTCTTCATTGCGAGCTGCATCCTATCAAAACTTGTCGCCTTCCAAACGTAATCCGCACAAAAGGCAAGTGTACAGTCCGTCGGCACGGATTTATCCCCTCCGTTCCGCCGAAGCTCGAGGGTGACTTCATCACTCTGGTTATTCGGAATCTTGATAACGTAACCAACTCCCTCCCAGTGTGCCCTCAATTCTCCGACATAACGTAGCCGCATTTCATCGCCAACCGCCAACTTAAC